GTTGATGGGCGTCTGGGCATACATCCATTTTTAGTTGAAGACTCAACTGCTGTAATAGGATATCGAAAAACCTGAAAAAAGAACTGTTTTCTTCTTCATCTTTATATCGTTAGAGAGGTCTTTATACCTTTTTCCGGTCATTAGCAGTAAATGCTTTAGCTTAATTTTTTTCTAAATTGTTAGCAGCAATAGCGGCAATAAATAAAGCTAGAAAAAGGTGAAAAATTTCCTTGAAGTATTTAAAAAATCTATTACTTCCATATATAAATATTTTTTTCATCCACTGGAACTAGTAGAAGATGCTGAAGTAAGGAAACAAAATGAGGTAAGGCAAGCGTTGAATCCAATCGATGCACAAGCAGATCGGTTATATCAGTAGCGTTTTCCAGGTCAACTGGTGTCACAGTACCCGACCTTAATGGACAGATATAAACAAACCTGCCTGATTCAAATAATCTCATTCAAAAAAACTTTTTTTTTCAATTTTATAACAACAGTAACAATTTATAGTAGTCTCAAGAAGTTACTAAAAGCAACATTTATATACTGATAAGTTTTCACCTATTTAGCAATAGATATATTTGTTCAGTCCGTATATCATTATTGTTACATTAATCGCCCATCCATAAACAATAAACGTTATTTTCAACAGCAAACCAATTTTGTTTTGTTTCATCAAAGTTTATTTATAGAGATTATAAGAGGTGAAAAGGTGAATGCAAAAAAATTGCTCCACACAGTATCAAACACTCACTTTTAATTTTCTCTCTTCTAATTTTTCTACTCCTTAAAAAAATGAAAAAAAAAACCAAAAAAGCGATAACATCAATGATTGGTGCTTATAACTGTTTGAAGAAAAAAAAAAAGAATGGATTTATGGCCTATTTGCTTTAACGAAACAATATATTAGAAGTTTCAGCAAGAGGTATCCAATTATCGACTTTTTTCGTCTTACTTCTACACCAAACCTTATCTGCAGATCACCTTATTACAATTTCCACATTAACCTATGCCTGTTCAAAAGAAAAATTGAAAAAAGAATAACAGAAATCTTCTGTTTTTAATGGCGTTACATTATTAACACAGTTCTAACCTAATAAACTGCTGCTCATCCTCCTGTCGACTCATTTCAAAAAAGTCCAAATGATCATTCAGTACTGTTGAGGAAGAATCGCGCAGACGTTCAACAACGGTTTGTAGCCCAAGCATTAAGAATTCGACTCGCAGATGCATTCGTACTTCCAGTGATGTCTAAATTTAAAAAAAAATCAGTGTATTTTTTCTTTGACGAGAACTTTATAAATAATCAACAAAAATAATAGAATTTTAATTTGTTATATCCAGAAGTAAAAATTTGAGTACCAAAAAATTACTACAAATAAATAAATAAATAGTGCTATTTTTAGCTTTATTTAATTTAACCAAAAATAAAAGCAACTAAACTGCGCAAATATGGCAGCTAAACTAAAGATGCAAAAACAATATGGACCGTCAAAGAAAGCTTGTTTTATAATAAAATTATTGACCAGCAAAAAGTTTTTTTTAAACAAAACTGTTCTCATTCTTTATCTTAATTTTTTCCTCTTTCTCCTCCTCGTCATCATCATCATTTTCTTCTTCCAAATTCAAGCCTTCATATAAGCATTGTTTTATTTTGTGTATCTTAATATGGTATATCTAATGGCAAATGACAATCATTTATTGCCCATTTTTAAGAGCTGTTAATAAACATATGATAATTTCTTAAAACAACATTTTATTAAAAGGAAACTTATGCTGTAGTTTTACTGAAACAGAGGGCAATACAAAACCAAAGAAGAACGTCAAATGGACAAAAAAAAAAGTTGCCTCAGCTGGTCCGGTGCTTAGAAGAGCATTAATCAGGCTCATTGCAGCCGTACGAACTCGCTGCGTTTCGCGTTCCGAACGATAAAAACGATGAAGATCATCAACAATTTTCTGGAACCTTGTACGTTCACCAAGTAAATCAACCGCTTCCGTTAAAGCACACAGTATTTTCTGGTGTCCGTCTGGTATCAAGCATATTCCAGCAAGAATTTCAAAGCACAAAATCTGTAATTGTTGTTGTTCTTTGATTGCATACTGCTCAAAAAACAATTAAAAGATAAAAAAAAAA